TGCTTTCTGGAACTTTCCATGGTTGCCTGATGGAGGCATTCTGTTGCCTGGGGGGAGCTGTGGTGAGTGGGTGGGTGTGGCTGGCTCGCCCTGTGTGTGTGTGTAGGGTGTGGGGGGTGGGGGTGGGGTTCCTTGTCCTTGAAGCTCTCAGCTGTAGGAACTCACCCAGAGAGAATCCTGGGCCCTGAACAGAGCTCTTTTGTCCGGTCCAATCTTCTCACGAAGTGGCTTAGCTTGTGTCCTGTGGCACCGAGGCGTGTTTCCAGGATGCAGGCCACTTCCCCAGAGTAGGCAGGCAGTCTGGGTTGAGGGGCAGGGCCGCCTGGCAGTCTCTGCGGGCGTCTACACAGCCAAAGGCCCCATCCAGTGGGTAATTCTTTCAGTGCCTAAGGAGATCTGCCTCTGTCTTCTTGCCTTCTCCCTCTATCCCAAACAAGGAAACACAGTTCCAAGAGAGTCCTTGTCTCAGTCAGTGACTACATTGTGCTAATTAACCTTAGTAGTCAGTGCCAGTCAACCCTGAAAGCCCCATCATTTATTTATTTGTTTATTTATTTATTTTGCTTTTTGGGTCACCTCCAGCGATGCTCAGGGGTTACTCCTGGCTCTGCACTCAGGAATTACTCCTGGCAGTGCTTGGGGGACCATGTGGGATGCCGGGGATCGAACCCAGGTCGGCCACGTGCAAGGCAAACGCCCTACCCGCTATGCGATTGCTCCGGCCCCAAGCCCCATCATTTAAAGTTGAGATCGCAAAGTTAGCTTACAGCAACTTGCATGCTAAGTGAAGATGTGGAGAGTTGGTGTGCAGAGAACTGTAAATAGCGACTGGGAGGCTTTCATGGTCCTTATTTCCACCACCATAAGGGAAGCTTTGGATTGGTTCTTCAGCTTCTCTTTCCATAGTTCCCGTTTTCAGTTAGAGTCTTAGCTTTTTTTTGTGTTTTTTTTTTTTCTTTTTGGGTCACACCCAGCAATGCTCAGGGGTCACTCCTGGCTCTGCACTCAGGAATTACTCCTGGCGGTGCTTGGGGGACCATATGGGATGCCGGGGATCGAACCCGGTCGGCCGCGTGCAAGGCAAATGCCCTACCCGCTGTGCTATCGCTCCCTCCGGCCCCCAGAGAGTCTTAGCTTTTTGGAGTTTTACTTGGTACAGTGACACAAACCCAACAGATTGATCTTGAATCTCCATGTTACAGTTTGGAAAATGATGGTTGTTGTTGTTATTACTATTATTATAATGATGAGGCTTGGGGCCACACCCAGCTATGCCCAGGGGTGACTCCTGGCTCCACACTCAGGAATCTCTCTTGGTGACCTAGAGGGGCCACATGGGATGCAAGGCAAGTGTCCTATTCCCCCCGCCCCCCCCGTGCTGTCTCTCTAACCCCAACAGTTTGTATTATTTTACAGACTTCTGTTCTACTTTTCTTCTCCTCTTTTTTAAATCCGTGTCATTTAACTTCTTCATTAAATTCTAAATTCTGATGATTCTAATTTCCATGATTTTTTTTTTTCAAATATGTTCTGTTAAATTTTATGGTTTTCAGTTAATTGCCAAAATCTTAAAAATCTGTCTTTGGGGCCGGAGTGATAGCACAGCAGGTAGGGCGTTTGCCTTGCACGCCTTGCACGCGGCCGACCTGGGTTCGATCCCTGGCATCCCATATGGTCTCTCCAGCACCGCCAGGAGTAATTCCTGAGTGCAGAGCCAGGAATAACCCCTGAGCATCGCTGGGTGTGACCCAAAAAGCCAAAAAAAAAAAAATCTGTCTTTGCCTTAAAAAAACTACGGTAACAGTAATTGACATGACTGTGTATACTAAGGGTGGAGTTTCATATCTCCTCAGAATATGTTGCCACACCAGCCCCACCACCAAAGCAGGCATGTCCCCTCTCTGACGGGCCGTGAGGTCCCTCTTCCTCTGCACTGCTCTCTGCCCTTGTAACCGCAGCTCTGTGGTCTGAGTCCATGGGCTGGTTTTGTCTGTTTCCATGTTTAGCGTTTCAGACGGTGTGAGTGGGAAGATCATTTGCTACTTGTCATTCTCCTTCTGACTCTTTCACGGCCACGATCTCTCTTTGGTTCCCTGCATGTTGTCACAGGAGGGCAGGATTTCATTTCTCTTTAGAAGTATGGATTCCCTCTGTGTCTTTTTAAATTCAGCCAATCATATCTGTTTTATAGGCTACACCTGTTCATCCTGATAATTGGGATAACTTTAGATTCTGCCCTGGCTGATTATTTTATGTTTTCGTATCTTGTAATGCCTAATTATCCGTCATCATGTTTGCGAGATTTTTGTTTTGCTTTGGGGGGGGGGAGGGACACCACCAAGGTTTACTCCTGGTTCCGTGCTCTGTGCCTACTTCTGGTGAAACTCGGGGACCATATGGGGTGCCGGGATTGGCAGGCACCTTCCCCACTATCTCTCCAGCCCCCAATGTTCAGAAAATGACTGTAGAAATAATTACCACCTAACTCCTGATAGCGTTATCTTCGCCGAGTATTTTCATTTTTTAATTTATTTATTTTAATGAATCGCCATGAGATACAGTTACAGATTTACAAATTTGCATGATCACGTTTCCTATGACCGAGTGTTTGGAGTATTTTCCTCTCTCCTGTGAGGCCTTTCAGCAGACTGGTAGTTGTCGTATCATGTTGAAGTGCAGCATAATCCTTTGGTTCTCTGCCACCCAGGCAGGGTGTTGCTAGGCTGCAGCCCTTGGAAGGGCGCCTTTGCTCCCGGTACATCCTCGCCCCAGCAGGGATGTGTCCCGGTTCAATGTGCCACATTATTTATGTAAGCCGCTTACCTTTGGTGAGCCATGGCCTCCATCTTCCTGTCCCCTCTCTCCCTGCGGGGTGTTCCAACGGTGCTCAGCCTTCCGTCAGCCTCCTTGAGGTAGATCTCTCCCCAGCAAAGGCCCCTGGCCGTGCCCAGCTCCCCACGAGTTGCAGCTTCTCCGTCTTGCCTTGGTAGATCTGCACCAGGTCCTCATGTGGAGGGTGCTCCTAGGTCTTTGGTTTGTTCTGGAGCCATGATAGCACAGCGAGTAGGGTGTTTGCCTTGCACGCGGCTGACCCGAGTTCGATACCTCCGCCCCTCTCGGAGAGCCCGGCAAGCTACCGAGAGTATCCCACCTGCATGGCAAAGCCTGGCAAGCTCCACATGGCGTATTCGATATGCCAAACACAGTAACAAGTCTCACAATGGAGACGTTACTGGTGCCCGCTTGAGCAAATCAATGGACAACAGGAGGACAGTGCTACAGTGCTCTTTGCTGAGGGCTGGCCCCGGCTCAGTGAGGGGGATGGTGGGGGTCACTCTGGACAGTGCTCGGGAGCCAGGCTATGCTAAGTCAGGCCTGGGCTTCCTGCCCTCCAAGCATGCGCCCAGCCTGCTGAGGGGGTCTCCAGGCTCAGCTGGAAGTCCACATGCATGCCTTCTCCCCAGGGCCCCCGCCGAAGGCCCCCCTCACCTTCCCTTCCTCTGAGCCCCTCGGTCCTCGCCTACCCTCTTTCCTGGCGACAACCCCAGTCCGTATCACTGTCCCCAAGCGTGCCGACTTGTACGGAGCTCATCTGTTCCTTCTCTCTCTATGCCCCATATGAATGAAATCATATGGTGTTTATCTTTTTTTCCGTCTGGTTGATTTCCCCAAGCATATTCCTGAGTTTTTTTTTTTTTTTAATTGTCCACAGTGGAGGGTTCATCTAAGTTACCTCATCCGGTATTACTGGAAGTGCAAAACCGGGACAAATGATGTAACCTATTGTTTGAACCGTGCTTCGTCTTTCTCACCTGTATTCTGGGGTCATATTTACCAACCCTTAGGCTGAGATTGAGATTTTAAAATGAGGTAATGCGTTAGGCCCTTAGAGCAGCGCTTGACTCAGGAAATACTCCATTTATTGTTACACGGCTTCGAGAATATTTGAAATTGGTGCTACTCAAAAACTTGTGCAAGTGTGAATTAGGCTTTTAATTTCCAGAGTAATTTTCGGGGTCTGAAAGACTGCTAAGTAGTTAGTCATACTGACCTTTCTGTCAGTCCAGATTTATTTAAATGAAACTGTTTTCCCCAATGTTTTAAAGACTGTAATACTGTGAAAACATAATTTTATCTAAAACTAAAAGTGACCCTGTTATCTATGTGTGTGTGTTTGTGCATGCGTGTGTGTGTGTGTGTGTGTGTGTCTATGCCTGAAAATATAAAGATGAACGTATACAGAAACAAATACGTAAAGGCTAAGGGGACAGATATTTTAATTACTTAAAACATGGTCTCTCATGTATTAAACAATTGTTTTAGAAGTTAGGGGAAACAGATAGTAGAACTTGGATGTATTAAATAGTTCCAAATTCTGAAAATGTTTTATCTTATTCTTTCATATGTCTATAGTAGAGGATAATTATAAAACCTCTGGTTCATACTATTTTTTTAAAAAATTAATTGAACTTCTGGAGCAGGTATAGATGAGAGAAAGTGTCAACAAAAGCCAACAGTGCATCTTGGAAAGCCTGGTGACAGGCCTCTTAGAAATTCTTGTATGTCACGAACACTCATTGCTAAGAATGTGAGTGAGCCTGGAGTGTGGGCCCATATACCACCTAAGTGCCTCTCATCTTCCGTTGCCTCCACCTAGTTTTTGTGCAGAAAAGAATTTAACTTTAATCTATTTTGCATCATAATTGAACCCATCAACATAGCATTAAAACTTTCTGAGTATTTTCCCATGTGTAAAAGGAAATAATCCCAAGACATTAAGGTTTACATTAAGGTTTAAACTACATAAGGCTGTACACCTTATATATTTTGGAATGTAAAGAGATATGTAATAATTTGAAGCATTTTTGAAGTCGTAAATCAATTCTTTCTGAATAGTGCTGCATCCTGTTTCTTTGGCTTAATGTCCTTTTCACTTTCTTATGTTATAGTGTGTCTTAAAGCTACTTAAAGATAATTAATTTAATGATTTTGTTTTCTAGGTTAACAGAACCTTCTGGATATTTAACAGATGGTCCAATTAACTATAAGTATAAAACTAAATGTACATGGCTAATTGAAGGCTAGTAAGTATACAATTTGGCTTGACTTTTTTTTATTCTGAAATCATTAACTGTACTATAAAGTAAAGTAAAAGTAAAGTAAAGGCCCTCCCGTATTTCTGGCTATATAATTAAAAAATTTACTTATATTTGGAAAATACACTATTTTTATAGGATTTATATATAAAGGGAGCTTTTATGGTTTCTGTTTAACAAATTCTAGTACTGCTTGAGGGATTTTACTTTAGGTTTTATATACATTTATTTACTTTGAGTTCTGTTAAGGTGACATTAATCAGGTAGGCATTTCAGCATGTTTAAAAAAATCTAACTTGAAAACTTCATAGAATGTGTGTGTGTATGATTCTGATTTATGCTTTATAGTATGGACCATATATTTCTAAGGAAGATTTTAAGAAGAGTTTCATTATATTTTTGGGGTCTTTTTCGGTATGTAGGTCTTTTTTTTTTGGTAACACCCGGCTATGCACAGGGGTTACCCCTGGCTCTGCAATCAGGAATTACTCCTGGCGGTGCTTGGGGGACCATATGGGATGCTGGGAATGGAATACTGAGTGGCTGCGTGTAAGGCAAATGCCCTACCTGCTGTGCTATCCCTCCAGTTCCTGGTATTTAGATCTTGGTACTGAATTTGCCGATTTAATTATCATTGATAGAGGCATTTATTTGTTGTGATCGTGCTGGAAATGGGACCCAGGTCTTTTGCAAGCAAGGCATGCACTTGACTGCCAAGCCTTGTCCCAAGCTCAAATGGATTTATGTTAATTCTTTTAGAAACCCCAATTTGTTTTAGTCGGATCACACCTCCGAGTGCAGGAGGAGGAGGAGGAAGAGGAGGGGTGGTTGGCAGTGCTGGGGATTGAACTCACGTCCTGGCACGCGTGAGGCATGTACTCTCTACCAGCCGAGATGTCTCCCCATTCTCAGACTGTTTTGATTCATAACGTTTATTTCAAAAATATTTAATTTTTTGGTTATCACAAAAGTAATTTTTGGTCTTAAAAATTCCCTTTATGGCCATTGTTTCATTTTGGTTGTTTATAGTGCATTATAGACCTTTTGATTAGAATTAAAAGTACCTATTTATGCTTCTAGCTGAGAGTTCTATAGAAATAAGAATAGTTATCTCTTAGGCTTTTTATTTTCACAGTTTTAACAATTAACTTCATTCAGGTCTAATTTGTCTAGTTTGTCTAATTTGTCTATAAAGAAACATCCATATTGAGTGTATGATTCAGTGTATAATTCAGTAAGGTTTAATGCATATAGACTATGTATCTTCTGCCTTAATCAATGTTTAAAGCATCTTTGGTTGCCTGAATTTTTAGAAAATGATTTTTTATATGAGCTGTTAATAGATTTTTAAGATGCATACCATTTTCACATATAAATTGCTTGCCAGTTTTACATATAAAGTAATTAATTTTATCATTTGTAGATATGATTATCAGTATTCTGGTGATGTAGGGTTTTATAGTGAAGTTATCTGTAGTAGGTTTATGAATAAATACTTTGCCTGAATCTCTTTAGGCTGCATTGTATATATTAATTTAAACATATTTTAATTTTTTTCAGTCCAAATGCAGTGTTAAGATTAAGATTCAATCACTTTGCTACAGAATGTAGCTGGGATCATATGTATGTTTATGATGGAGATTCAATATATGCCCCTTTAATAGCTGTACTTAGGTAAGTGGTTTGGTGAATTTATCGTCTGTAGTAGAAAAATGTGTTTAACATGCTAATAATTCACATATGTGCTGTTTTGTACCTCCTAATGAATTTTCACATAGATAATTATATTATTCTGCGTTGCAAACTCTGTCAATTTAGGTTGTTAATTGTTAATTAGTGATGTATATGATTCTGAAGATGGAACCAGCGCGTTTCATTGGCAAATGAACCGTCTTCAGAGAGATAGGAGACCCACTATTACAAAATAGCACTTTGCTGCCGACCTGAATCCCACCCAACCCTCACCAGGGATCATGTGGAAGAAGCCCTGTCACTTCTATTTTACAGTTGAGAAAACCAAGACTCAGAGAAGTTAGGTAAACTTTTAAAGTTAAGTCAACTTCTCAAGATGGGAGAGCCAGGATGAGGACCTGGCAGTCCCCTGACGTGAAGAACCCACATGCCACACTGCAGCTAAGAATTCAGAATCTAAATGTCTTCCTCACTCTGTGTTGTCAGTATGCATTGCTCAACGGATGTTTGCTAGCCGCGGTGCTGGACCATCATAAACCTGGGGAGTGTAGTAAGGAATAAGATGTAGGTCCGGTGATGACAGGACACTGGGAACCAGCATCCTCCGGCAGGCTGCCACCTCGCCCCTCGACCCCCATGTGGCCCAGCTGGCCCCGTCCGCCGGGGTGCCCATTATTCTCACTCTTAGGTTAAATAATTTCCTGAAATGAGTCACAGAGTTCAGGAAAGGAGCGTTCCGAGGATTACAGTTTTATTGTGAAGGCCCAAATCCCAGACACATGGAGAGACGCTTGGTAGGGTGAGGTCAGGGAGGAGCCCCAAGGTCGTTTCTTTATCTTTAGGGCGAGTCACCCTCCCAGCAAGTCACAGTGGATCGCCAGAGTTTTCACCGATCGCGCTTTTACTTTTTGTGGGCACCCGGGATTGACTCATCGTTGGTGCCGAGGTCCAATTTAAGCGTTAGTCCTTCTATCTCTGGAAATCAGATTGATCCCTTAGGGCTCAAAGCTCCAAAGACTGAACCGAGTGGCTGGAGTGTTTGGCGTGACCAGTTTCCTATTCTGAGTCATTTTATTAGCTTAAACTCTGCAGGGGCCCACCATGAGTCACCCCTTTCCCATGAGCCCACAGAGCCTGCCATGAATAACAGAGGTCCGCCAAGGCCTTGGAAATTCCAAGAATTTGGAGGCTCTGTCACTGCATCATAATAGTGTCAGTTACTGTCTGCACCATAGAAACTTTTTTAAAAAAAATTTAGCACAAAAAATGCCGTAATGAAGTTATGAAAAGCATACTGTATGATTTTAGAAGAAGGAACTAAACGTTCACAATAAACTTCATGTTGAGTTGGAAGAATGCTCCCAAAGGTCCAGCGAGGGCTTCTTAGGTGGAGAAAAATATATGGACAAAGACAAAGACAGGTTATAGGAAATTATATTTTGGAAAAATAGTGAATGATTTTCAGCAACTTGATTACAGAACATGTGTATTTTCTATGGACAGACTACAGGAGCAAGTTACAGTAAATAGTTATTTGTGACATCTACTGAGTGCTTGTTAAAAAAGTTCTTTATATCCATGAACTCATTTAATGATTCCAGTCATCCTTTTGTTATTGTTCTTACCTTTATAAATCAAGATTTGAGACACAGAGAGGTTTGGTGAGTGGCTCAGATGTGCACACCTTGTGAGTGATAGTCGCTTGTGAATCCAGGTTTTTATAATTCCTCCATCCCTTAATAACGTTTTCTTGAACTCCCCACTAAAGAAGTTGAGCTTTGTTTGGTGTGCGTGACTCTTTAGAATGTGGTGCATTTAGTGGAACGGAGAGGATGACTCTTTGACCATGTGCTGGAGATGCTCATGTTTGTTAGGATCAGCAGAAATAGGAGACCTAAGAACTGGCTGTGCTCCTGCAGACGACGGGGCCTTAAGCGATCACGTCAAGTATCAGTTATTGAGTCCAAGTAACAGTTATTGAGGGGATTTACCTCCGGACTGGAGTCCAGTCCCCTGGACGGCATTTACTATTTTATTTTCATTCCTAGACTTTGGGGCCCCAGGTCAAACTGAGTGCCCTAGATTGCACTGTTAGTTATCCTAGTTGTGTACAACAGCCCATTTTCTGACTGTTGGAAGCCTCCCCTCCAACTCTGAAATCAGCGTTGGTACCTAGTGCCTGGACTCACCGTCTTACTGGTTCTCAGGTACTGATTTTTTGTGGGGGGTTTTTTTGTAATCATTTGTCTTTGTTTCAAGTTGACTTCAGTTGGAGGATTGTTTGACGCTAATTCCCTGGTGTTATGCAAAAAAGAATAAACCATTTCATTTATTGCTCTTAAAACACATTAGCAAGCAACATCTTTCATCTCTTTCAGAGCTATTTATTACATCAATTATTAAGGCTTGGGAACATTGTGTTTAATTGTCTACATATTTTGCTATAACCTCATATGTGTGCAACCAAGACTGATAATTTAAATTCTACTCACAGTTTTAAAAAAAATTTAAATTACAATTTTTTCATGTTTTCATTTTGGTTGTATATAGTGTGTTATAGACCTTTTGATTAGAATTAAAAGCAACAGTGTTCCAGTGTATGGTTTTGATGTACAGTTACTGTACCCCTTAGCACCTGTCCTTGAAAATGTTTTCCTACAAAAATATAATTAGTGTAATTTAAGCATCAAATGTGGCTTACTTTTTACTTTCTTAGCTCATCTCTATGTGTTTGCAAAATTATTTGATTATAATATTTCATTTTGTTTTGACCAATATGATTTGAATGATAGAATTTAGTCCCTAGTGGGTCATTGACTGTAATGTTGACAGGTTTTAAAGGAACTGACTATATTCAGGTACAGTACCTGGAACCTGAAAAAATTATCATTAGACTATGTAAGTGCATACTCAAATATACTATTAATATTTAAATACTCAAATAATGCCATGTAATGCTATTATTAATACTCATATATACTATTTAATCAAAACAATATGTAATAATGTGCTACTATATATTATTTTGATTATATAAAATACTATTATACTAAAATACATATTAAATAAATAATAATAAATAAGGCCCTCCCGTTGATCGTTGATTTGCTCGAGCGGGCCCAGTAACGTCTCCATTGGAGACTTTGTTGTTACTGTGTTTGGCATATCAAATACTCTCGGTAGCTTGCCGGACTCTCCGACTCAGAGATACATATTATTGCATATTATTTGGATTAACATATTATTGCATATTATTTGGATTAACTATGAAAAGTATAGAGTATTTTTATTGTACCATGTTAATAGTGTTATTATACTCTTATTACATAATACTTCAAGTAATATGGTGTGTTGAATAATGATACTATATAATTACATAATATCTTTAGTACTATGGTTTGTTTGCTAGAACTCAATGTTATGCTTTCACAGATTTAGAGAGTATAGTATAGTAGCTGTAAGTAGGCGAGAATAGTACTTTCCCTTCCCCTGGAAAAGTACTTGTTGCTAACTTAATCTTGGTTTTGTATATGTGTGTGTCTGTGTGTGCATATATATATATGTGTATATATATATGTTTACCACATGGTTTTCTTTTGTGTACATATAGGGTGAGTGATAGTGATTTTGTGTACACGAGTGAAACTATCTTCTGGCATAGTCATAATTTAGCAGAGTATAACAGCATGCAGAATTTTAAGGAACTATACAAAGTATGCAGTTTTCAGATGACTTAAGCTCCTAGAAATGTGTACTGGAGCTGTCCAGCTTGAATGGAATGTCACAGTCTTATCTGATTTAGAGGGTTCCTTCAAGGTTCATCAACACTTACTACCCCTGGTGAAAAGTCTCATGCTGTAAGGTGACCTGCGAAGCAGTCAGGTCGTTTTAAGAGAAGGTTTGTAGGTGAGTTAAGTCAGAGACCACCCCACAGTATTACCCAGGTGGGAAGCAGGACAGAAGGGAGAAACGGGATATTGTAACATGAATGTGAGAAAGGGAAGGGCAGTGTGGTGGCGTGGGAGATGGTTTGCTGTGGAGAAGACTAGAGACGTGGGGAGGATCGCTTGGGGACCACTATGGGGTCTGCCCGTCCTCTAGTTGCCCATTCTGAGCGCTTTTCAAAGTGATGACCAGCTTCCACATGCACATTGATGTACCCACCACCTCGATCTTGCTCTCTTCCAGCGGTTTAATCGTTCCTGAAACCAGGGGGAATGAAACCGTGCCTGAAGTTGTTACAACATCTGGCTATGCACTGTTACATTTTTTTAGCGATGCTGCATATAATCTAACTGGTTTCAACATTTTTTACTCGTAAGTATTAGAAAAAAAGGTTTCTATTATCCAGAGTCTTTTAAAATCTGCCTGAAAAGTGCATTTTAAAACTTAAGTGTCTTGTTTAGGAGAAGCAGATGCGTGAGTTGAATTTTGCAATACAGAGGGTCTCTTCTTGAGGAGCAGAATGTTTTAATAATGCTTTCAGAACGTGGTGTGTATAACTGGCAAGTCCCAGGATGGACGCCACCGGGTTAGGTCTGGTTGGAAATGACACAGCTGGAGTTCCCCAGGTGTGAGGGTGCAGGAGATAGCACCCTTCAGTTGAACGTGAGATCAATGATTATTGCCCTTCTGCATTCAAGAGAACTGTCCTGGGTATTTTCTATACACATTATGTTCCTTCATTTTCTTCGCAACAACCCTGTCAAGGGGGTATTCCCCCCCCCCCCCCCCATTTTACATGAAGGAATTGAGACGTAAGCGAAGATAGCTTTTTATCGAGAATTTATGTCTGACACCATATTTTATTTCTATGCCCTCAAGCGTCCTAGAGTAAAATGAAGTCGCTGCTTTCCTAAGGGAGACACAGAGAGGCGTGCTAGGTCCTCTTCCTTTCTGCAGGAATGTACACAGTGAGAGGCAGAGTTTCCTGCCAGGGATATCCTAACCACCCTTGGATTAGAGATTTGTTGTGGAATTTATTGATCTCATCTGTAGACCAGAGAAAATAAACAGAGTATGCTTCACATCAGCACCTTCATCCTCATGCGGTTTGATAAACGTTGCCCTCACACAATGCGGGGGATGAAAATGTCCTAGTTAGGCATTAAATAATTAAGGTACCTTCTTTGTAGCTCAGGTCTTTGTGAATGTGATTTTTTCCCCCATAAAATATATATTTAAGACATTTGGGTAATTAAGTATTTCTGGAACACAATGCTTGCATCTCTATAGATTCAGAAGCTACCGAGTTGTTTGTCCTTGTAAGTATAGAGAATTGCTAACAGAGTTAAAGGCTAATTGCCTTATGTATGTATATGTGTATATATATATATATATATCAACATAATATATACAACAAATATAACAGAAGTACATTAGGGATAAAAAGATATCCAGAAAGGAGTAAAGTCACAATATGAAATTCCATTAAATGAAACCCACGAGATACAATTATAAAAATGAAAGTTTGGGGCTGGAGCGATAGCACAGCGGGTAGGGCGTTTGCCTTGCACGCGGCCAACCCAGGTTCGATTCCCAGCATCCCATATGGTCCCCTGAGCACCGCCAGGAGTAACTCCTGAGTGCAGAGCCAGGAGTAACCCCTGTGCATCGCCAGGTGTGACCCCCCCAAAAAAAATGAAAGTTTATAATATATCAGCCCTGATCCTTTTTTTCAATTACTTTGAATTTGAATATACATATGTATATGTGTGTGTGTGTGTGTGTATCTATATTTCTATATGAATTCTATTTTACAGAATCAATTCTTGTCCTAACAATTGTTCTGGACATGGGAAGTGTACCACTAGCATCTCTGTTCCAAGTCAAGTCTATTGCGAGTGTGATAAGTACTGGAAGGGCGAGGCTTGTGATATCCCCTACTGCAAAGCCAACTGCGGCAGTCCTGATCATGGCTACTGTGACCTCACCGGGGAAAAGCTGTGTGTCTGCAATGACAGTTGGCAAGGTAAGCCCGTGTGCGGCCTGGCTTCCGGCGGATGCAGGCTCTTAGCGCATCAGCTTGGCTACACTTTGCACACCCAAATCTCTTGTGCTGTATTTTATTTTTATAGTGTGTGGTTTAATGATCGGCGTCATAGTTTGTGTCTTCACAAATAGGATTGGCAATGATTTTTGTCTGCGTTGTTTCGGGAATGTAGTGAAATTATTGTGTGCAGCTCTGTAGAATATCAAGGTATGACATCGTGATAATCTAAACTTTTATTATTTTGATTGAAGGGACTGAATTTAACATTTGGCACATTCAAATTTGGTTTGTAAAAATAATTGCTTGCGAGTGTGTGAAAATTACTTCTTAGGAAAAGACTGCCCTCTTGCGGCTATTTTGAAGAATATTTTCAAAAGCATCTAAAGGAAGATATTTCACCCACTTATTGCATGAGTATTTCTGGGGAGGAGTTTGTAAATAATTTTCATAAATTTCATTAAAAATTAATTATAGACCCCATCGAAGGGTTTCAGTATGCTTAAGTACTTCAGTATAGGATCATATATTTGGGTTTCGTGGAATTAAGGAACTCGGACTAGTTACCCAATGCTAGTTATCCATCTCGAACTTACTGTGTGCAAAGTATATTTACAGATTGAGGCTTTCCTTTGTGCAAAAAGACTGGTGTTTCTGATATGAGGAAACTTTGACTTAGGAAATACATAATTCTCGGTTACGTGATCATGATTTATCGTAACCCAGCATAGCAACCTTAGCAGTGCAGTTCTTATTGCCTGTCTTAAACCCAGAGGGAATGTTCTTTTCATGTGGTTGTATTCCTCGTTCCTAAGGAGACTTAAATAAAAAACATTGCTTAATAATGCAGAGTGCTTATTTAGAGGATTTATTTTAGGTTTTGTGTAAATTATGCCAGTTTCACCTGTTAGTCATTTAAAAAATTTGATTCTCGAATCTCATTAAATACCAGTAATATCTCAGTGAGCTAATATGGCTCTGCATTATGATTACAACAGAAGCAAATGTCTCAGTGTTTAATTATGGGGCTTGTATTTTGTAAAGTGGCTATTTGTAATTTGTGATTTTTCTTCTTTTAAAAAGTGTCAAGAGATACTTTCTCTTTAATTTTAGCCTGGAAGCTAAAATAATGTTTTTCTCCCCTGTGGAGAGAATTGCACATTAAGAATACATTTAAATTAAGCCTGGAGAAATAGAAGTATATTATAACTATTTTTTCAGACTGGTCTTCAACTACTGTTATTTTCATCCTCATTTCCACAGTCTGAAGAGCAAAAGACGATTACATTTGATTAGCATTCTTGATAAATATTTCTGTTCTTTTTTGTAAAAAACTTTTTTAGTGCATTTGAAAAGTTTATTTTTTTGGTTTTTATAATATAGTTTTTTTCCCCTTTTTTGGTTACTAAATTACTGTGGGCTGGAGTGATAGCACAGCAGGTAGGGCGTTTGCCTGGCATGCAGCCGACCCAGGTTCGATTCCTCTGCTCCTTTTGGAGAGCCCGGCAAGCTACCAAGAGTATCTCGCTCGCACGGCAAAGCCTGGCAAGCTCCCCTGATGTATTCGATATGCCAAACACAGTAACAACAAGTCTCACAATGGAGACCGTTACTGGGCCCGCTCGAGCAAATCGATGAACAGTGCTACAGTGCTATAATATAGACGTTTGACACATTATCTTTGTTTTGTATATATATATATATATATACACACATATATATATTTTGAAAAGTTAGGTTAATATGGGAGTGCTTTTTAAATTATAAAATATTTTCGATAAGACATTTTATACCATTATTAATTTCTAATAATGAAACCATTTCTGAACGGATGTGAAGGCTTTCAGGTCAGAGTGTTCGCTGAGAGATTAATGTGCCTCTTTCCAACAGTAGTTGTGCAACTTGATTTTCTTTGCAGCTCACAACTGATCCTCAGTTCTGTGGTGAAGGGGGTTATAGTCTGAAGCCGGTGGACGGGGCACTGAGGGAGAAAGGGGAGGAATAAAGGAGAGATTCATTTCTCGGACATTGGGGAATGATCAAAGGGCTCGAGGTATTTGAAAGGGAGAGCTGAGGAAGCTGTCTCTGTGAGCTCCGAAATCTGGCAGTTATTTTGTAAGGGACTATTTGTGTTTTTTTTTAATTTTTTTAATTTTTATTAGTGAGACACCATGAGGTACAGTTGTAGACTTACAAATTTTTGTGCTTGGGTTTCAATCATACAATGATCAAACATCCATCCCTCCACCAGTGCCCATTTCCCACCACCACGGGTCCCAGTATCCCTCCCACCCCCTTCCCCCCATCCCACCCTGCCTCTGTTGGCAGGGCATTCCCTTTTGTTCTCTCTCTCCTTTTGGGTGTTGTGGTTTGCAAAAGAGACATTGGGTGACAATCATGTTCAGTCTATAGTCTACTTTCAGCATGCTTCTCCCATCCTGGGAGGATCCTCCCAACATCCTTTATTTGATGCTCCCTTCTCTATCTGAGCTCCTGTAAGGGATTATTTGAACTGGATTCTCTAGACTAAGTAAGGTAAGGTAAGGTAAAGACCCTCCCGTTGTTCATCGATTTGCTCGAGCGGGCCCAGTAACGTCTCCATTGGAGACTTCGTTGTTACTGTGTCTGGCATATCGAATACGTCACGGGGAGCTTGCCAGGCTCTGCTGTGCGGGCGAGATACTCTCAGTAGCTTGCCGGGCTCTCTGAGAGGGGCGGAGGAATCGAACTCGGGTCGGCCAGGTTGGCTGCGTGCAAAGCAAACTCCCTACCGCTGTGCTATTGCTCCAGCCCTAGACTAAGTATGGCACGTCAATAGATTGTTGCTATCTCCATTATATGCAGCATTTTTTTCCATGCTGGTTATTTGATGCTATCAGATTTTATGCTCATATACCACATGGTTTTTTTTTTTTTTAGAAGCTCTACTTTTTTGAAAACTATTTTTTTTTTCCCACTTAGAGAGCACAGAGGAAAAGGCTCACTTTTGAGTCTTTGATTCCCCTTGTGGCATTTCTTTAGAGCCGGTGGACCTGCCTAGTCTTTCTAAATTGGGTTTTCTCCATCGTGTAACCTAGGACATCTGCTCTGCAGTTGCCACCCAATTGCCACTCCCACCCCCACCCCCACCCCAAGCACTGTCAGCTCAGCCTGTCTTTTTTTAGCCATATGCTTTCGGTTTTTCACTGCCCGAGGCATCTTTCCAACTATGTGGAAATCTATCTATTTTCAGGACGTATGGCACCTTTAAAGTCCACCGTCCCCTTTTGCCTGTAGAAGGCTCTTAGGAAAAGCAGCAGCGGAGGTTTGAGGGGATGGCTCAAGGGACAGGAAGTTCATGCATAGTACGCAGGAGGCCCGGGCTTTATGCCCTGTACCTCGTGGTGACCTGAGCACTGCTGGGAGTGCACCTGAGCACCGGGCAGAGAGTAGCCCGTGACCAATACCAGGTATGACCTTAAAACAAAACCAGAAGTAGGTTCCCCCTCTTCCCCCCCCCACCAAAAAAATTCACTAAGTAGGTGAAATAGCAAAGAATATAGAAAGTGCCAAGGGCAACAAGCACTTAAGCTTTGTATTATTGACTTGTGTGGCATTGTATTAGGCAGAGATAATGAATATGCATATTTAAAAATGACCCAAAGGATAGGGATGTTTTTCACTTAATAATCTGTTTCACTTAGTAAGTCCAAATCTGTGGTGGAGAGGCAACTTTGTGAAACAGTTTCTTTTAAGACGAACAAACAAACAAACAAACACTATCCTCCCGGTGTTCATCGATTTGCTCGAGCGGACCCAGTAACGTCTCCATTGGAGATTTTGTTGTTACTGTGTCTGGCATATCGAATACGTCATGGGGAGCTTGCCAGGCTCTGCCGTGCGGGCGAGATACTCTCGGTAGCTTGCCGGGCTCTCCGAGAGGGACGGAGGAATCGAACCTGGCTCGGCCAGGCTGGCTTTGCGCAAGGCAAATGCCTTACCTCTGTGCTATCGCTCCAGCCTTTTAAGATTATCGCCAAACATTGGGCAGGACGAGGGCTTGTTTTGTTTTGGGGGCCACATCTAGCTGTGCTCGGGGCTTACTCCTGGTCCTGTGCTCAGGGACCCCTCCTGCTGGTGCTCAGGGATCATGTGCTCATGTACAGGCCAGGGATTTGAACTGGGGTCGGGTGCATGCAAGGTAGATGCCTTAACCTCTACTTCGTCCCATGATTTTGTTTGGTTTCTGGGCCACACCCAGTGATGATTCGAGCTTACTCCTGGCTTTGCTCTCCGGGATGGGATGCTGGGGATTGAATCCCGGTCAGCCATTTGCAAGGCAAGTGCCTTAACCCTTCTCCTGGGGCTGGAGCGATAGCACAGCATGTAGGGCATTTGCTTTGCACGCGACTGACCCGAGTTCTATTCCCAGCATCCCATATGGTTCCCCGAACACCGCTAGGAGTAAGTGCAGAGCCAGGAGTAACCCCTGTGCATTGCCAGATGTGACCCCAAAAGAAAAACCAAACAAACCCTTTTGCTATCTCTTTGACCCAGTATTTCTTTAATATCAAGACACAACAAATTGAATTCCGCTGTAAGAACTACAGAAGGACATTGATTTTCAAAGCTTACTCCGTGCTGTCGAACCCTGCTAATCACGTGGGGACAGCATCACACAGATGATCTTTCTGTAACTTCAAGACCATCAAAACCCAGGGAGGCTGGGGTCGCCAGCACTTCTGGCTTACTTGAGCAGAAAAGTATGTCACGACAGAAAGAGAAAGCTTTAGCTCAGCGCTTACTGCTCCGTTGCTCCAAGCAGAATTGGCTGTCTCCAGCACAGCCCATGACCTTCCTCCCTTCATGGTGGCCCTCACAGCGTCCATGGCAGTGATGCTGAGTTGGGGTCGAGGGAAGGGCTGTGTGGGAACACTGGGTCCTGGGGATTTCCCCTAGTGGTGCGTGGATGCCAGTGACCGCAGTGACCAGGACCCCTGGCG